TTTTTCTGTTAATAAATATATAGAATTTGTGGTTTTTCTCTCTATTAAACTAAATAACTAAAATAACTAACTAACTAAAATAGAGAGTTGTTTATTATTTAAGATTATGCTTTGTATGACGCCTGCTTCGTATGACGTATTCGTCATTTCCCTTCGATTTCATTATAAGCGGATTCTACTGTAATTCAATACTAAAAAAATTTAAAAGCTTCAAAGTCACTTGGTATCTTGTTGAATATGTTTAGATGTTGTATTCACACACAAAAATATAATGGCAAATTGTGTACACATAATGCTTATCTTACAATTAATTATAGATACAAAAGGAGTTTCCTAATTTATTGTATTTTCATGTCAATCGCTATGTTAATTAGTTTATTGCCCTTTAAGCGAAACTCTGAGTAATTTGTCTCCTTGATATTACGAAATAAACATGATACTTAGGTACTTTGTAGATTACAACAAATAAGCATGTCATCATTGCCTATATGAGTTTATTAGTAACACGCACACGCGCTTGGCATCAGTTTTTAATACAGAGAAAACTTTCTTTGGTGTACTCGAAACATATCGAATTGAGAGAAAATATGAATATTCAAAAATTCGAATGGGTATACTTACAAATAGTACCAGTAATAAGTTTACTATTGATAAAAATGTCCGGTCGGAATATGTATAGGTACGCCGAGTATTTCGTTGAATCATTCAATTGGATTTTTATTTTCTAATATTAGTTTTATTGAACGTGTGTTGTATGAAAAATAAAATTATAATAATGTAATTGCTATTACACTAAGGGAAGTAGATATTACAAATGATTTTTATAGGTACCTATATCTTTAGCTTACTTCCCATTAGATATTCATAGCATAGGTACTTATTTACAGTTAGTAAATATTTCATATTTTTTAAAAGAAAGATTATGGTTTCCATTTGCAAAATATGCAAAGTTTCTGAAAAACAAATAATTCATTTTATTAAAAATTCAGTCAAAAGATTTTGTGTAATAAGGATTATAATCCAGATTAGAGAATTATTGCTTTAGTTAATGTAGTCTATTTAGCTACGAGCCTTATTTCAGGGAATCTAATCCAAATAATAAAAATTTGTACTTTTCCGAAAATTTTATGTTAAAAAGACTTTATGTAAATGAATACAATTTTTCAAACTAAATTTTAATTAATAAAATATGATATCTTATTGTAAAAGTACCTTTGTAATGTTTTTATAATTTTGGTTATTATTTGTTTACTTGTTTGTTTGTTTGTTTTATTAAAGTTAGACTTTTTTTAAGATACACATATGGTAGAAATGTGAAGGGTTCTGTGTTCATAAAAATTAGCTTCAAATATTTTAACAGAGAGGCGATTACTCAAGTTAAAGGGGTAAGAAAAGGAGAATAACTTTTCGAAATTTTTTATTACTTTCTTTTATACAATTGTAGCTAGAAGATGACGGATGCGCAACTTTTGTTTATACCAATAATGAATTGCATCTTCACGAACAAGTGCATTCTCATCTAACAATAACTTCAGTAGTGACAGAACATGGCACAAATCGTGCCGAAACTTCAATGTCAAAAAGCCACATAGTCAACGAAGCTTATAAAATGAAATTTTCCGACGATATTTTATTTTTCCATCCGGGCTTCTCATATAAGGGTAGGCTTAGCGCCACAAATGTATTAATTGATTTGAGAGGCGAAGTTGTAGAAATTTGCTACACTGTAGCGGTAAATTACGTTTGGAATATACAAAATATTAAAGAGTGTTCAAACTTCACATTTGATGACGACAATGGTATCGACTTTTCATTACCTCCGTTAAAGGATAATGTAATAAAAGTGGACCTACAAGTAAGTCCCTACCTGTTTAGTATCCTAACTGATGTAAAGGCGAGTGAGAGTTTGTTTGTTTGTTTGCTACCATTTCACGCACTCAATCGATCATTATGAATTTGTACACACATTGTCAGGGGTGTAGAAAAGGACATAGGGTGCCTTTTATCTATAAAAAAATACTGTTACCGAGGGATAGAAAAATTGGTATTGTGGTCGTAGATGATTTTCGACACATATTTAGGACATCAACGCGAACAAAGTCGCGGATAAAGCCTATCATGAAATTTTGTACAAACATTGTCAAGGGTACAGAAAATGACATAGGGTACCTTTTATCAGTGAAGATATTAAAATATTTGAGAACAATTTTATAGGCCACAGCCTGAGAAGAGATTTTGAATCGATTAAAGACATATTTTAAAAATGTTTTCGTTTATTTAAATGAGCATCATCGTATCTCTTAGAGCTGGACTAGGATACTCGTAAACTGTATTATTATAATCACTCGCACTGCTTGGGAAATATTTAATGCTAGAATAATAAATTGTATCCGTGGAAATATAAAAAGCACTTATCTGCATACTGATACATTACGAATTATCTACAGCAGATCCCAAAGCACAACATTTTATATACACAAATTGTATCCGGATAATACCGAAGTATTCGGGTGTTACAGAGCTCAAGTATTTTTACACTGTAGGTGCATTAGAATCATGCTGCAATGGGAGACAAGAATCGCTCTCTTATTTAATCTGAAATTGATCATGAAAGGGTTATGACTTTCAAAACGGTAATTACAAGGGTAGGCTAAAAACTAACACACACGCTTGTAAAACGCTAACAAACGTAAATAGGATGATTGGGCAAAATGTAAATTAAAGTGCAATTCTTAAACTTTAATCATATGTGTATTTTTCCGTATATTCACTTTTAAACGTGTAACAATTTTTTTCATTCCGTCGCTGCGAAATTCTTCTGACATTTCTCTAGCCCAACATTTGATAGTTGCCTTCGCCTCATCGTCCGAGGTGTAATGACTGCCCATGAAATTTCTCTTGAATAAAGGAAAAATATAAAATCCCTGGGCGCAAAATAGGGAGAGTAAGGAGAGTGCGGAATCGGTTCAAACTTAAAGTTTCACAGAGTATTTTTAGTTGCGCGGGAGGTGGATGCGTGAAGTATGTCATGCTGCAAGATTATTGGCACCAGGATGCCTCTAATGACACAACGAACGCAAGATTCCACACTCTCTACTCTCGTTTTTGTGCCCCGCAAATTTCATTTTTTTATTTCTCTATTAAAAAAAAACCTCGAGGATAATCATTACTACAACTCGGACAATGAGATGATGGCAGGTATGAAGCCCTAGATTAGAGAAAAGTCGAATGAATTTTTCGGTGACGGAATAAAAACTTTTACACGTTGGGAGAAATTCAGCCTACTATCATTATCATATTTTAACCAGTCCGGAACTAATCAGATTATTTTCCTCAATATTCTCACAATTATTTAAATAATCATAAACCAAAAATTATTTAAGGCAGTTTCTTTAAATCAAACTATCAAAGAAGAATGGCCTACGCGAATTGGCCAGTCATTCCCTGATAGATATAATACAAAAGTGACTGCATCGGCCTCAATTAGTAGATGGTATTCGCCAAGTAGAAGTTACATTCATTTGGAACCTATGCAAAAAACTCATTTACAGTGCCAATCAGTGCAAGAATATATCGTTCAGTATTCGTCAAATTTAATTGATTCTGGGGAAACAGTTTACTTTCATTACATTGTAAGTGATTGATCCATATACGTAAACACAAATAACTTTATCAACTATTCATTTTTACTTTTTTTTAATAATGAACTTAGATTAAATCAAGGAGTAAAATATTTCAATCAGGCAGATTGATTCATCGATCTACTAAGCATCATCCGATATTGATTACCGAATTGAATAACGCTGTTGGTTCTAATCATTCTTTTGTTAAAAACAATAATTTTGTGGATAAGTTCAGTTTCAAACTTAGTTTGGGAAACGAAGTGTACTCAAAGGCAAGACTGTTGTTGTACTTCGTCTTGAAAACAGCCGAAACTGTAGCGTCTTCAGTTGATGTTAATATAGAGAAATGTCTGCCGAACGAAGTAAGTAAATAGAAGTAGAAATTAAATATGAGAATTGCATTACTCAATTGCTTGTAAATTTTGGGACATCTACATTCTTCCTTCTATAGTTGGGACGACCACAATTAGCAGTCTGCAATAAAATTATCTGTGAGTTATTGTCTTCACTTGGAAATGTAGTCATTTGCTGCATTTTGAACATGCCGTTGTTAAGTTAGGAGTACAGACAAAGTGAAACGGTTAGAGGTTGGTTAAAAGAACAGGGTCGGCTTTATAATTGCCTGATTGGAATTACATCTTTAAAGAAGCGCCTTTTGCTTTCCTAAATTCCTGAACATTCTTTAGTCCGATGCTGGCTACATGCTGAAATTCTGCTTGTCCGCATCTCTTTCTGTTACACATCAATTGGTGTAACGTTTTTCCTTTTTCTTTATTAGTGTCCGCTGCAATTCCTATCTGACATCTCTTTTCTATGTTTACGATGTACCCTATAACGCCTGTCATGAGTAAAAGTAGATGTTATGTTAACAACTGTCTAACTAGTCTAGTTAATAAGTTGAAAGAAGAAAGTAAATGCGATAGTTTTATTACGGATTATGCCAATTTTGTATGTCCCGACTATAGCGTTTCAATTCAGTTCATAACTGTCTAGTTATGTCACTACGATTTGTTGAAAGTAAATTTAATTTACAAGACTTGATAATAAAAATGACAAAGGCAATAAATGTAAATATTCGTTAAGTTTCATAGAGAATTGAGTAAAGTTAGTTTTGAAGTTTTAGAGACGTATATTGACGTCAGACTATGTATTATGGGTCTGAGGTAGAAATAACAAAAATATTAAATACTTTTCTGTACAACTTTTGGTTGGAAAACAAACTCAAATGCCTACCTCATCCTGAGGTGGATCTTTTTATTACGTTAATTGAAATTTAATTTTATTACCGATAAGGTGAATGCTAAATGGTCAGAAAAAGGATTTCGGCCAGGAGATGAAGCTAAACTTACCATAAAAACATCGGCAGATTCAATTTGTGCAGTATCGGCCATGGATAAATCGTCAATTGCATTGAGTAACTCAAAACCTCTGACTGTGGCTAGCATTTTGAAACCGTTTATTGAAGAAAAAGAAACAAAGCAGACAAGTATTCTTAACTGCGTTCCTAGACATGTTAGAAAACCTTTAGGTAACTAAAAAATTACTAATAGAAACGAATAACATTGATCGATATGTGAGAAATGCTAATTGAACTGACATATAACTCATTCAACTAGTTTTATTAAATATTGAAATTATATTTAAAAAGAATAAATTTTCAGAACAAGGTAGGTAAGATATGATCAATTTCTGTCATTTGTTATAATTTTGTAATGTTGTTATTCATTATTAATCGTTGAGGATCATACGTAATTTTGCCCACCTAATAGTCTTGTATGTCAAGGTACCTACTCCAAAGCTTTCTTTACGCGAGATAGCGAGTTTTTATGAAGTACTTTGCTATCTTTTACCACTCCTAACTTTAATTTTTCAGAAATTGTTGAAGCAGAGGTAAATTAATTATACTTATAATATATAAGTACGTTTCAGAACCAAAACACTTTCTACTGCTTCTTTCGCAAAATTATTTACTTCCCTTTCTCACCCATTCTAAATTCTTTCCTTANTCAAAAGGGAAATCTATTTTGTATTTTACATTTGAAATAAGATATCAAAAGAGTATTTGCATTTTGTATTTGAATACTTTTAAGAAACCATTTTGCACATCACATCTCTAGTTAAAAAAAATACAACAAAGAACCTTTTCCCCTTCCCTTCAAACTTAAACGCTATTTCTATTCTTTTTAATATTACCCCTTCACCTTTTTGATCTCCTACTATTTTTTCTAAAAATTTTCATACATATATTTTTAGTGTACATCTTTACACTTATGATTATTATTTCAGATACCACTAGTTAAAGTTATAAATCCGTCTGGATTAACAGTTAATGTTCTGGATAACATATCTACGAATTCAGGTCTAGTTCAGTTTGAACATCAACTTCCTGAAGAAACGACTCAGGTTGATTGATTGTACTTGCCCTAATATATATGTTTCCGTAGATCTTCTTTTTATTCACATATACACGGTGTTGATTAAATAGGCGGCAAAACTTGAAAGGCTTATTCGTTTGTCTGTTCTAAAAATATATTGTGCTTTGATGATTGTTGAAAAGTAGCTTTGTTTTCAAGGTACAGGGCGATAAATGTTATCCAAAAATACCAATGTTATTTAAACTTAGNCAGAACCAAAACACTTTCTACTGCTTCTTTCGCAAAATTATTTACTTCCCTTTCTCACCCATTCTAAATTCTTTCCTTATAGAAACAATTCACCTTTCTAGACCAAACAGTTAGAGTCGGTAGGGACTTCCTCTCGTTACAACCTCATAGGAATGGAAAATCCACAAATACTTCCACAAACGACTCTAATCGTTGTAGCCTACATAAAGTGATTAGTTTTAATTTTCTTGTACAATGGTTAGTTAGTAACTTAGTTTTCCATTAAATAGAGATAGGTACCAAAAAGAAGGTTACTTACGTTTATTACTATGCCATACGAGCCAAGATTTACTCGCAGACTCTTTGGTATTTTTCGTAAACTCGAGTTTCGAATTGCGTTTAGTTCAAACTTGAACTTTCTCCGAACTCTTCTTGGTAACCCTAAGGATAGAATTCTTTTTCTATAAAAGCGGGAGATGTATATGAAATTAATTGTAAAGATTGCAGTAAGAAATATATTAGTGAAACTAGGTTTAGTATAACTGGAAAATCCAGTGTTTTCCAGCATATTTCTACTGAAAATAATGGGATCAATATGAGCAACTAGAAATAGCATTGCTTGACAGTTTTAAAAATATGTTTATTTATAAAAACCGATTATGCTCTTTTAATAGTGACAGGAGTCTTACAACTTAATCTCTACTATTTTGTCTAATTTAATTGTTTTGTAACGATTATTAAACATTACAGTTGACATATGCAGTTATGCTCGCAGGACCAAAATATCAGTTAGTAGTTATAATTTTTACCTTATCTTTAGTCTTTAGTGTTCTTTAGTCCCTGAAGAAGGCACTTTCTTACCGAAAAGTACGTCCAGTGTCGTGTTTTGGAGTTGGGGTTTGAGCTGTTTAGTATTCAATTACTCAATTAAAATTTCAAATTATTTATATTACTGCGCGGCGCGGGGCTGACGATTTGATTATTAATAGTCAGTTCAATATAGCGTTATCCTTAATGCATTAAAAATTTCTACATCTTATTAAATAAATTATTGGTTGTAGGCATTGAAAAAACTAATAATAATTCTAATCCGATTGCTAGGAGAAGGCGTTCTCCAAGTAGAACTTATTTCTCTAGTCAGTACGATAGTTTTGAAGCATTTGATGTATGTATATAAACAATAAATTAAATGGAAGCGAATGAATCATAATAAACTAAAAATAATTTCAGGTTATTGGAGTTGGATTTATTACTAATTTAAATATTCTTACGAAACAATGCGAAGAAGGTAATAAGTTAGTTAACCACAGTATGTAAGTGAATAATTTAATTCTGTAAATAAAACGTTTCGTCCTTTTATCAGATCCCCCGTCGCCGTTAAATTCGACTCATTCAAAAGGTACGAATGATATAAAAAAGTATTAACAGGTAAATGTCTAGATGATGGCCCTCACCCCCTTTGGGGGTGGGGTGGGTGGTATCGAAAGAGGAGGTCTCCCCCACCACTGTACCATAAAAAGTTCGTGGCGGTCTCACCTCCCATAAAAAGTTATGGGGGTTAGATGGGGGTGGGGGTAGGGTAGGATCGAAAGAGGGTGGTCACCTGAGTAAAACCCCATAAAAAATTTGCGGCGATCTCACCCCCATAAAAAGTTATGGGGGTTGAAATTTGATTATTTTGATAATTTTCATACACTATAATTCAAATAAAATTCAATAAAAAAATTATTTTCAAGCGGGTGGAGGTGGGGGATCGAAAGAGGGTGGTCACTTGAACAAAACCCGATAACCTAACCTAACCTACCCTATTGATAAAGATATTTAAATAATGTTTTATATAACTTTCTCAATATTTTTATGTATTTTTCATTAGTTTTACCTTTGAATATTGTTTAAGAATGACTATATAAATATTTACATGCCTAGAAATGTATAAAAATTGGCATATTTATTAACTTTGAACCCCCATAACTTTTTATGGGGGTGAGACCGCCACGAACTTTTTATGGTATAGTGGTATTTGAGATGCTCTCTTTCAAACCCCCTACCCCACCACCAAAAGGGGGCCATCATCTAGACCTTTACCTATTAACATCTCGTAATATGTTTAGTAACTTAAAAATCTTTAGTTAATTCGTTAGAGATGAGAGGTTATCATTACAATGTCGATGATTCAGATGAAGAAATAGTCAAAAGATCTTTATTTCCTGAAACCTGGTTATGGGATTTAGTACCTCTAGAGTAAGTTTAGCTTCTTAGTATTATCATATTAATGCTAATTTACTAAATATATTTATATAATAAATAAAATTCATTAAACTATATTAAATGATACAGAAGATGATAGACAGAATACTTAAATGGGCGATTTCAAAGTCAAATAATAAATTCAAAACAATTGATAATACAAATCAATTGGATGTTAAGAATGGGATATCATAACGTAAACCCGAAGATTATATATTAAGACAATTCATTTACTGAAACTTTTGTCCAATGATTCGAGAAAGTTGAGCAACTAGATCGAAAAAATGAATCCACTGACACAATGGCTTGTAGTCAAGAAGCTCAAAATCAATCAGATCAATATGACATCATGAACTGACGCTATATCCTGATTCCGGTCTAAAGTGCGTCGTCGGTTGGAGTTTCTTCATCACGAGGGCGAGCTCTTTCAGATCCACCATCTGAGGTGGAAGGATTTCTGAAGAAGCTCGCCATTCAGACTAGCGAAATGTTCCAACCGACGATGGCTTATAGACCCGAATCAGGATAGCATCAGTTCAAAAAGAAAAGATTCAAGCCAAAATTTTACGAATGGACGAACACATGTATTTCCTACCTAGTATGTCGAAGACCATATTACAACGGTTATGTGTGTTAAGAAGCTAATCTCGTCTGTTTTCGTATCCAAATAGAAAGAAAACGAAGTTAATTTCGTCAATTACAAATCAAATTATATTTGTAATACTCTTTATTTTTATAACATTACAATGACGACGTTTCGATCATTGTTTTTGATCATCTTCAGGTCATCAGTAAAAGATGGAAACACAGTTACATAGTCAATGTTTTTCACATAAATAAATATAGTCAACAATCAAACAAACAAACACTGTGAACAAAAACGTAAGACATAACGAAGACAAGTTAGTCAGTTGAAACGTCGATTGAGACTGTTGATAACTTTTGGACGTTGACATGTACCATTGCTTACATCTAGTTCTTCGATTGATTTGGTTTTATTTAACGTAAGATTTGATTAGAAATCAGTGAATTATTTGACTTTGAAATCACCAACTTATTCTATTTATCACCCTTTTTTAACGATTGTAAATAATTTTCGTTTTAAAAACCAAGTTTAGTTAGTTTTTACACAGATCTACTGAAAATAATTTAGCAGTTTGTTTTAGATGTTTAATATAATGATAAATATTGCAATTTTTTTTAATACAAGTCATGACTAATATGAAAAGTTTGATTTAGTGGAAAATAATATTTTTTTGAAATGGTTTCAGTGGTAACGAGCAATTGCAAATTGCACGACCATTACCCCATTCCATTACTAACTGGATCACTAATGTTTTGTGTGTGTCTCCAACAAAGGGAGTCGGTGTTAGCCCTAATTTAGAAATCTCCGTTTTCCAACCATTCTTTCTTGATGTTTTGGCACCTCGTACCATAAAACGTAACGAAATTGTTCACCTGCAAACGATTATTTTCAACTATCTAAATTACAGTATACCTGTAAGTAACCAGGCAACTAAACCCCTACTTTGTTTTTACACGACGGTGGTCAAAAAATTGACCAAAATTCATTGAACCCCAGACAAGTAATACATATCTACGAGGGCGGTTCAATAAGTACCCGTGTTAGAAATGAAGACACTTTTTTTTTAATTTTTTTGTTTTATTTTTCAACATAGTCTCCTTTTAGAAAGATACACTTCTCCCAACGTCCCTACCATTTGTTTTACCTCTCTAAAAAATAAGATTTGTCGAACTCTCCAAAATCCTCCCTCTCTCGGCGATGACTTCCTCGTTTGAGCTAAATTTTTTTCTCGCGAGTCATTTCTTCATGGTAGGGAACAAGACGAAGTCGCAGAGAGTCAAATCGAGTGAGTACGGGGTCTGCGGCAGCAGTTAACAATAACGTAATTCATCCAGTTTGACGGCAACAACTCCTGATGAATGTGCCGGTGCGTTATCGTGTTGAAAACGCACCTTTTTTTTCGTCAAATGCGTCCGTGTCTCCTTCAATTTTTTGTCTAAGCGGTCCAATAACTCACTGTAGTATTGTCCAGTGATCGTTCTTCCTTTTCCTAAAAACTCCGTAACATGATTTTCTCGGTAACAACGTTTGCCAGGCTTCCTATCAAAAACGGACCTTTGCCCACGTTTAAATTCGTTGAAGCGATATCTAAGTGTGATCATAGATGGCGAAATGTCTCCATAAACAGCATCCAACTTTGCTTTTATCTCCTCGCATTTTTCCCATCAAAAAACCAAAATACTGCTCTTTTTCCATCTTAGCGAAAATAACGAAACACGTCTCAGTCGAATGGCTGCCAAATCCAAACTAACTTATCAATCAGTCTGAAATTCGTTTTGGCATGGTTTGATAGATGGCAGCACACGATGACAACACCAATTTCCCTCAGGAGCGTCGTATGTCCAAACACGGGTACTTATTGAACCGCCCTCGTATTTATGAAAGCTCTCATTAAGCTCAAAAATGTCTTCTTCAACGATTTTTTGTATAATAGAAAACACGGGCTAAGAGGAATTTCAAAAATAACCATTTCAAGGTTTTGTATCTTGAAATGGAAAAGAGGAACCCCCACAGAAGAACTTTTAATTAAAATTTAATAAACATTAATGAGCCAAATGTAGGATCTTAAGATTTGGTGAGTCAAATGGTGCAAAAGGAAAGTTGGGTGTCTGTCTGTCTGTCTATACAAAAATATAAAATCGTAAATCATGCAAATATAAAAGCAGTTTCTATTACCCAGTTGAGAATAAGTTTGGGAAATACAAGTAACGTTGACTCAATCGGATATCCCGACGATCGTGCAGTAACTCACTGCGTTCATCCGAATGATAGCAAAGTTGTCATATTTCGCATCAAATCTCCATATTTGGGGCAAATAAATATTAGCATATTAGCGGAAGTTGACTCATCTTATCCCGGAGAATGTGGACCTGATATTATTATTAACAAAAGGTTTGTTTTTATGCCAAGATATGTGTATCCTTCCGGTTATAAAATTAACTAAAATTTATAGGGACGAAGTGGTAAAGTCAATTATTGTCGAACCCGAAGGTCATACCGTGGAAAAAACTGGCTCTATACTACTCTGTGGTGGAGGTAATTTTAATATTTAATACATTTTTCATAATTTAATTGATACTAACAACATAATACGAATATACAAGAGCGGGAAAAGATGTACTAATAAAGTTTTTTAAATTTTCCAATGATTTAGTTTCGGAGTTATTGGTAAATAAGTTTGTCCTAAGAAGGCATTTTTTTATTTATATCAAAATTTTAGAAGGAAAATGAAAATGCTGTTTAAAGTATCATCAACTGGACTAGATCATAAACTTAAATCTAATACATTCCGATAATAATATGTTTAGCGATATTTGATGGGTTTGGTAGTGTGATCTATTATAGAAACCGAAACATTAAAATTCGTAGGCTTCATGCTAAAAATAGAAGCTTTTTGAAATTTTGCGATCATGAGTTTTTCTTCAGTACCTATACAATGATTAGGCTTTTGGAAATAAATGTTGAATGTATTTGTTAAGTTTGTGAGTTTACTAATGTGGAAAAAAGTTTGCATCTTTCATAATTATTCACATCACTTAGAAATAGTTTGTAAAAGATGAAAAAACAACTTTGAAGCAATCAAAACTTGGTCCACATAACTAACGTTTTTTATGGAGGCTTTTGGACTGTTTCCCTTTTTTCACTTCCGCTTTATCCTGTATTTTATATATATACTTTGGTAAGAATCATGACAATATGTCTTGTTAATTTGTGGAACGAAAAGATACGAACATGTTTTTTTAATAATAAATGCCTTTTCTTTGGTAATTTTTTACTTTAAGATAATGTGCTTCCCAATAATGTAAGCTGGACTTTAAGTGTACCAAATGATATCATTCGGGATTCGGATAAAGCTATTGTTACAATTGATGCCGATCTTATGGGGCCTACAATAAGGGTAACTTTTTTTTATTTTATAAATTAGAAATGGTTGACACGTTCAACTTTTCAGAATATAGAAAAATTGATAAATGTGCCTTCCGGGTGCGGCGAACAACTAGTCGCCGCCATTGCTCCAAACCTATATATTTTGAGATATCTAAACGCCACTGGAAAACTACTTGGTCCTACAAGACAAAGAATTATAAGAAATTTAAAAATTGGTAATGGAAATGTCTTATTTATTTTATTTATGATTTAGTTATACATATATAGTTAAAATAATTTATTGAAGTGCAAGTAGATCTCACCAGCACACTATAAATCTAAGGTAGTATATCGCCATCTACTGATATCAGTATTTTATATGTGGTGTGCTGATGGGATCTGATAAGATCGACATCGCGATTACCGTCTGGTAAATTAGTGACCAAAAACGTATACCTACTGTTGTTGCGTTATTGTCGTTTTTGTTGGATAAGTAGATACCTTAGTAAGATCCTGAAGACTGCTTGTGGCGTGCTGATGGGATTTAATAAGATCGAAAGTTTGGCCCATATTTGGCAGTTCTGATGAATTATTCGGCAACAATGTATAGTAATCCATTATTTATATAAATTTACAATATTTTGAATGATTTTTAGGGTGTCTAAAGCTGAAAACTGATAAAGGGCTTGAAAACAGTAATTTTTCTTGTTAATTCGAAAACTACAGTGAAATAAGTTTACTACTTCTTTAAGTTTTGTCCACATTATGGCCCGAACTAATATTGTTAGAATTTTCAGATTGAAAAAATTTAAGTTTTTTCCTTTCATTCTATTTTTCCAACAGGATATCAGCGAATTTTAAATTACGTCCATACGGATGGTTCATTTTCTGCATTTGGTTATCACGATGCAGTCGGATCGACATTTCTTACTTCTTTTGTTGTTAGAACATTAGTGCAACTTAAGCAACATATTTATGTCGATCAAAGTATCATAGATAAAGCGGTGGAGTGGATATTAATGAATCAATTAGAAAATGGTTGTTTTAATGCCGTCTCACACGTGTTTCATGATATGGTAAATAACAAGTAGATTTACTAAAGACCTAACACCAAAATTTGGCTAAGTGCATGCACGCACCTGTTTAACAATTTCGACAATCCCATAAAAATTAACAGGTACTGTTCGTTTCAAGAAGTTCGAGATATGCCCCTTCCCTTTATTAGGATGCGCCGTAGCATAATTCCAAATTCAATCATATTTGTCTGCGTAGCTCATTCCTTCACTGATCATCGAGCGAAAACTAGACAAAAGTGTACAGTACCATTTGCAAAATTATTTAAACTGCCTCGTTAAAATTTAAGAATATGCTTTATTTAAAAGCATATTTAGCCAAAAATAATAACAAATGAATTAACTTAACGCTCTACACACCTATAAAACATTTGCTTTGTTTTCTATTGTTAATTTATATACATTTTTGTTTTAAGAAATTGCTAAACATTTTCGTCTAGTACTGTACAGTTCCAGCCGATCTTTTAACAGCGCCCATCGAGAGCTCTGTTCGTTCAAGCTTGTTCCAACTATTTCTGTCTTGCTCACGCCTAGTGTGTATTGTTTCTCTCCGCGCACATTTCTTCAAGGTCACAATTCAAACAAATTGAAATGGGCTGTACCTACATAATATTCAAAATTAGTTAAGTTGAAAATACTTATCAAAACATATCTTCAAGATTTTTTCACGCTATTAGATAGTCTTCTTTAGACATAAAAAATTCCGACACATTTCTGTGTTCTGTGATCGTTTTAATTTATCTATAAGGAATCCATTTTTCCAATTTGGTACCAATCTTTAGTAAATCTGGTTCTAAATAGAATACGCAACTGTAAAAGTCAACGGTGTTTATAAAATATCAAGTTCGTCAATATTTTAGGGTGGCACAAGCAACGAAAATAGTACCGCAGCTCTCACATCTTATGTTATCATAAGTATTTTAGAGTCGGGTATTGAATTGAAAGAAAAAGTACGTAATGATGCTCAGTTCTGTATCAGAGGACATCATTCTCCTGATAAATACACTCTGGCTATTAGTAGTTACGCATTGAGTCTCATTGGATGGCAGAGCGAAGCCACGAGGGCTTTGCGGAGGCTGTTGGAAATTGCCATTGTGGAGGATAATTTAATGTGGTGGAGTTCACCAGGTAAATAAGAAAATGTAAATAAAATTAGTTGGTAATCAGTATATATAGTATGTGTTTATTTGTTAAACATAAATTTTAATTAAATAATGCGTCGCACAATGTGAGACGTCATGTAATAGGTTTTTAAAAAGAACCATTACTGTCATCCGCATCGTTACAGAGGATTCTACGTAGAAAGTGTTCAAAAATTAGGATAAAACATTAGATAAACACATAATATTCGCCGTATGCTTGTACGTTATATGATTTGTGGCTCGCACATATCAAAGGTATTGCTGGTATCGATCGCCTGCGGCATTCGTTTATAACAGTATTTCTCGAAATTCTCGTAAGAAAGCACGATAATTAAATTTTATCGAATAGTTTTGATCTATTCTCCAAACATCATTAAATTTTGCAGAGATTCTTTAAACATAAATGTATATATAGGATCTACAAATTTTTATCGAAATCCTCAATGGAGATATTATTAAAAAAATCATCCCAGGGTCACCAATTAATGCTAGAATGTGGATCTTCCGAAGTCATGAAACAAAATTAAAATCCCGAAATAGACGAGGACATTCCTTACGATATGTTTAACCTTTTAGTTGATTCAGTTAAACATTTACTAATACAATTGATCGAGATTAGTTTTAATTTAATTGTAAAAAGTTAGAACACTTGGTATTTGATTTGTGTGTAATGTAAGTACTTTTGAACAATTTTAGAATCAATTTCAACTAACATAGAAATGACAGGTTACGCCTTAATGACTTTGCTGCATCATGGTGGTACTGAAAACTTAATTCATGCCCATTCCGTGGTACGGTGGCTTATAACTCAGAGACAATCCCACGGTGGTTTCACAACATCTCAAGTTAGTGTTTTAATAAAGATAATAATTTCAAACTTAATTCGCTGCTATTATTGTTTAACGGCAATTGCAGGATACAGCTGTTGCCTTGGATGCTATTTCTCGTTATATGGTCCTCGTAAAAGGTAAATCTGCAAACTTGTCAGTACATGTGGCCACCAACGAACGAGAACATACCATGCCAATAACTCATAGAGACAAATTAAAAACAAAACAAATATCCGTATCTCGACTTCCGAATGTGATTAAGGTTATTGTTAATGGCCAGGGATGTGTCTTGGCAACTGTAAGTTTTAATGACTTTATAAATCAGTTTCATGGCTCTTATTTATAGGTTTTTATTTTTCGGTTCTTTTAAAAAAGGCCCGCTTCATACATCTACATAATAATCGCTTAAATGTAACTAAAGTTAACAAAATATAGGGACAACAATCTTTATCTTACCGTTAACTGCAAAAATTCATAAGCATTTTATATATTTAAAATGGTTGAATTGATATCTAGGCTATTGAATGTGTTTAAAATCAAAAAGTAGTAAGGAACAATTGTATCCACGGGTTTTTATTGCTACATAAATACGTCAATTAAAAATGATAAAAGCAGTAATTGTAAATGCCACTAAATATAAAGGGTGCATTCTTCAGATCCAATATAAAACCCCGTTTTTTTAGTTTTTCGTAACTCAAAAATTTTGCATTGAAGAAAAAAGAACGTGACTTTTGTTAAATTTTTATCAATTTTTGATACTGAGAAAAAACTTTTTATACTATACAACCATATTAATTGTTAACTGTGAATCAATGATGCTCCAGCAGCGATACCGTATTCAAAGACCGTAGTAAATAATTTATGCAAAGATATTTGTTAACATTTTAGAATGTGGTGTATTATAATTTGGAGCATATGATGAACAGCGAAGCGTTTAAATTGGCAGTTGATGTTGAATCAGTTTCATCGACTGATAAATGTTCAATAGCGATGGTATCTCCATGTTTAGCATACAAAATGCCGGATATAAAGTCGAATATGGCTGTTTTAGAAATTAAAATGCCGACTGGTTATGAACCCGATAGGGGATCGTTGTATAAGTTACAAGAAAGTAACTCAAGTGAGTTTTTAAACTTACGATTAATTTTTATTAGCTTTTTATTGATAAAAAAAAAATCTTGAGTATTTTGACTACAATTTCTTTTACCTACACATTTTGAAAAAACTTTTTTCTATTTCTTGAAGAAGTGAAAAGGTTTGAAGAAAGTGAAAATCAAGTTGTTTTGTACTTTACCCAACTGAGTCATGATCCAATATGTGTACCATTTACAATCAATGAAAATGCTGTAGTTGACAGTAGGGTTGATGCCATCGCAAAGCTTTATGATTATTACAAACCTGAACTACAAATAGCCATTGTAAGAACATTTTTTTTTTATTGATGTCAATAATACAATAATATTATCTATTAAGTAATTCAAACAAATTGAAATGGGCTGTACCTACATAATATTCAAAATTAGTTAAGTTGAAAATACTTATCAAAACATATCTTCAAGATTTTTTCACGCTATTAGATAGTCTTCTTTAGACATAAAAAATTCCGACACATTTCTGTGTTCTGTGATCGTTTTAATTTATCTATAAGGAATCCATTTTTCCAATTTGGTACCAATNAAGAAACGTATTATTATTTACAAACTTGCACTTATTAAAACTGCCAATCAGATACAAAAATTTAGACCAGGTTATATTAAACGTATCTTTTTATCTATAACTTTATAGCTTACCGCTAGCTAGTTTTTCTGTATCTTTTTTGGAGTGTTTAGAAAAATATTACAATATTTTCAATTCAACTTTTGAGAAATTTTACTTTTAGAAAGTGTCAACACGACAACGACAAAAACAAATTATTTGTCTAGTGATTCGTTCCAGGATGAAAAATTTTCTAGGATATCTAACCATGCATAATTTATTTCATTATGACTAGATTTTTACGTTATAGTTTATTATTTTTTTTTTTTTAATGTGTTCATTATTGATTACAAATTTCTATGATTTATATACATAGATGTACTTACATTGTATCTTACATTTAGTTTTATATTTATAAAATTAACACGTGAAAATAAATTTCTTATTACTTTATAATTAGGTAATCACAATATTTAGAGAATGACGAAGGATTGTAGGCTCAAAGCTGTCTTGATTGGGGACCCCGGGTCTAAAAGCCGTTGTCGATTCTCCTTCTTGCTTACGAATGGCGAGCTTTTTCAGAGGTGGACTGTCCACAACCAGCGTTCGAGATGGAAGCACCTTTGAAGAAGATCGCCACTCGTGCTAGCGAAACGTTAGGAAGCAATTCCAACCAGTGACGGCTTTTAGACTATCAATTTGTTTATGGGTCCTTTTAAAATTTTCCAGGTCCTGGATCCTTAAATGGTTTACATGCTTTTTGTAATCCACATCCTTGACAAAAACGGGATGGTTGAAACATGTAACACTCGAAACCGGGTGGGCAATATTCTTCCATGCAGGGATAGGTTACAAGCTGACAATTGTCATATGCTGTAGTAAAATAAGCAATTTGTTAATTTTGTACGAAAAACGGAATCTATATAAGATAATATTTGCTGACGGGTATGCATTTTGACAATTAAAGCTTATATTTTCAATTTTGTTTTTTGTGGGGCAGTGCAAGAAATAACTTTTTCTTATCGTGTGGCGCATCGTTTGAGAGGGACACATTTAAGCATTCCAAAAAATCAAAATTTTTGGTGATTAGGTTGTATGGTCAGTGTTCGTAATGTGCGATAAAACAGTGTCTATTATTCATCATGGAAGTTGGAAGTTACTGAACAATATATAGAAAATCTATTGCGTTGTTCGTCAATCTTAGTTACTGAAAAAGTACCTAATTGTTTTTTTGGGTCTCGTTTGGATGAGTTACACACTTTTAATAAGATAATTGAAGTTAACATGTTATAACGCGATTCGGAATTAAATCAAGATGCTAAGAATATAATTTCAATAATTTAATTCCCCTAATCATCATCATAAGGTTGACTCGCACCTCCACTCTTTCCTATCTTGAGCTAATCTTCGCATTTTCCTAAAACTAGAACATCCTACATCCTTAACTATTTGCGAACAGTAATCTAATCTAGATCTACCTCTACCCCTCTTAACTCCTGTTTCTGTTTCTAATATGCCTTTCACTAAACCTTCATGCCTGAAAAGGTGTCCCACCAACCTATCTCGCCTATTTCTTATTGACTTCCACAGAGTTCTCTGTTCTCCTATTCTTTCTAATACCTCTTCATTTCTAACCATCTGTATCCACGGTATCCTCATCATTCGCCCATAACACCATATTTCGAACGCCCATCGTATATGTTTCGCACTCGTACAATACCGCGCTCCAAACATACACATTTAACAATCTTTTTCGAATTTCTAAATTAACCGTTTGCGAGCATATAATTCTATCTTTATATTCCCTTTTTTCCTTCTTTTTCTTTGCATACCAAGATAAGTTTTAGTAAGTGATTTAAATGAATATTTTTCATAAATAGCATGTTAACGACCTTTACGTCAGTCAATTATTTATAAAAAAAAATATTCCTGCCCAGGGAGTGGCGCCAGAAATAACTTTTGATTTTATATTTTCAGCATTTTTGGAGCTTAAAATTATAATTTAAAACGGCAGACTATACAACCATATTAATTGTTAACTGTGAATCAATGATGCTCCAGCAGCGATACCGTATTCAAAGACCGTAGTAAATAATTTATGCAAAGATATTTGTTAACATTTTAGAATGTGGTGTATTATAATTTGGAGCATATGATGAACAGCGAAGCGTNCCCAGGGAGTGGCGCCAGAAATAACTTTTGATTTTATATTTTCAGCATTTTTGGAGCTTAAAATTATAATTTAAAACGGCAGTTACGTAATGTTTGACGGTCACAACTATGTGCAAACCATTTTGGCTTAATACTCATTAGTTACTAATATTTATTGCTTTTTATACTCACTTTGAGTGCAGAAATTTTCAATGCAGCAGCCTCCGCAACATTGTTTGTCGTCCACGCACTAAAAGAAAACTTTTTTGACTATAATTTTTCAGTGTTTCCGTAAAACATTAATATTGGTTTATTTATTCATGACATTAATCATTAATTTAACAATTTGTTGCCTTTCTTACATACATATATTAACATAATAGTTCGACTGATCAGTTAATGTAGCGCAAAATTGTATTATTTTATTATCTCTTTATTTTATTTTTAAATGTAGATCTTTAGCGCTTCTAAATAAAACTGCTAAAACATAAATAGCAAAATTAACCAAATATCTTGCTATTACAATTATAAAAAGCGTTTATTACTTACATTCTCCCCTAATGTCCCACAATCTTGTGCCAAAACAAAGCCTGAAGAAGCAGTAAATATTAACAATAAGAACCTTAACGATTTCATTTCTAGACTCCGTTGGAAATGTTTATTGAGTATCAATATAGAATGCGTTTGCTGTTGATTCACACCCAACCTCTAGTTAAAATTCTGCCTAAATGTTTTCACGTTACCTGGCAGGTATGCGTTTGTATAAACTATTAACAATTGTTAATTTTGTGTACAAATATGACCTTATTTTCGCGTAAGAAACGTATTATTATTTACAAACTTGCACTTAACAATGTTCGTATTAATACTTTACAAAAACTTAATTGTAATATTTTAAATATTGGACGAGTTATATCTTTTTTAGAGTAAAATTCTGTAATCAATGATGCATAAGATTCAAAAAGAAAAAAGAACCCTTATAGGATCACTTATATCAACACCCATTTTCTTGGGAACGTGCGGATGTATCAATTTGAAATTAATATCAAATACTCAGGTCTGTAATCTCTTGTAGCTGTAAAAAAATCAAACTTCTAAGCAGAATCGTCTTTAACCTATTGGAGGCCCTGGGCGCATAAGGATAACGGGGCCCCTATGACATTAACAGAGGACTATTTTGTTAAAACAGCCAAAAAGTGTAGATAAGCAAAATTCTAAATTTATTCAGTAATTATGTTTCTTTTAAATCACATTAAATGAATATATAATTGTAAGTAATATAATTCGGAACAGTAACTCCTTCAGCATTCATAGGTTAGTGCTTAAAATTCTAAGTTTATTTGAAAAGTTTTGACAGAAGCAAACTCGTCAATCAGTTGTTCAAAGTCTATGTCTTTGAGCACATCACATTCTATGGACATTAACGACATACTGGTCAATCTTTTTTAAAGCGTTGTACTTCTTAATTCATTTTTTATTCTTTTCAATTTGGAGAAAGAGTACTACTCCCCAATAATACCATTAGTTATCATCATACTTAAAAAGATTCTTAATGCACTTTCCACATTTGGAAATGTGTTTTCAATTTTGTTTTGTATTTAATGGTTGATTTCCCCAAAATAAATATATTTTTCGGTAATAAGTATTGGTTTTCGGTTGATGGATGGATCTGACAGAAACTAGGGTGTCCCCGTCGATCGCGGAGGGCAGAATGCCCAATGGAAAAGAGGGGCCTGTTTCTGAGTCAACGCAATCGAAAGATTCGGCTGTTTATGCTGCATATTTTGACACTCGCAATGGAATCAAAATTTGTAGTAACATCACTTTAATTGTAACATTGTAATTATCCGTTTTGGAGACTGATTGTGGGGAAAACATACAACATACTCGGAAAAAGCGAAAAAAATCTTCGAAACTCGATTCCTCTGACGAACAATTTACCTAAACCTACAAGTTTGTACGAAATCCTCGGTGCGCGGTTTTTTCTTAAATTATGTGTTTCGCCTTTCCTGAGGATCAACTAATTAGAAATAAAAAGTTGAGATTGGAAGGGGCGAAGTAATTCCATTAGATTCAGTATGAATTGTAATTCAGTTAATGGCTTTATTGATCATCATATCAAACATTTTTTAAAACTATAACTAACTAATCATTTTGATGGTGATATTTATCATTACTTAGATTTTTGTTTGTAAGTATGCCAAAAAGCATAATGCCCATTATAATGTAAGTTTTGAGCCCTTACAGGAGGGAACAAGCAATTTAAAATAATAAATTAAAGTTAAAATAATAAATATTGATAAATAATTAAAATACAGCGCAACTGGTACATATCTTAGCTTTTAATTGTGGTTT